ACAGAAACATACCAAGGGAACATGAATCAAATATGCACTTTTATTCATTTACAATAAACTCATAAAGTACATCATTCTGATTGAAGCTAGGGGCATACAAAATTGTCTAACATGTAGATCATAACAGATATTAACTGAATGTCTGTTGGTTATCACTCACATCACCTCCACTAGCAACTGCATGATTAGCTCATGTAGGTGGGCCATGTAGATCATAATAGAAATTAACTGAATGTCCTTCCCTGCCATAATATGTACACTTCCTAGTAGTGTTGCCTCTTCCTTTACTACGACGTCCCCCTGAGTCACGATCACCACTACTTCCATCACCACGACCAAACATGGGACTACCACGACCTCCTCGAAATGCATGTCCTCCTCCTCTATTACCACGTCCACCTCCACTCACTACAACAAATACTGATTTGTCAGACGTTGTGGTACTCTTTGTGGGTCCCAATGAAATCCTACGAAGCTGAGCAAATACTTCCTCAAGTGTAAAAAGGGTAGAACCTCCCAATATTTGTGCTCTAACAGGTTCATACTCTGATTTCAGCTCCACTAAGAACCTAGTTACATCTAGTTGCTCCCTTTGTTGTTGTTGAATTTTAACATTTGGAGTTAGGGGATGATAGACTTTGAGTTCATTTATGAGGTTTCTCATACTGGTATAATACTTTTCTAGGGTTTGATTCCCTTACTGTAAATTGAAATACTCCTGATAGAGCTGTACTCTCATAGTATTATCTTGTCCAAAATAAAGTTTCATAGCATGTTCCCATATTTCCTTAGTTGTATCTAAGAACATAATGTTGACACTTATCTTGGGTTCCATACTGTTCCACAACCATGTCATGATTTGGGCATCTTCTTGTTCCCAGTCATCAAACCCTAGAGATTCAGCTGATGGTTTATCTTCCTTCACATGTTTCACCTTCCTCTTCGCCTTGAGAAAAACTTCTACTAACTTGGCCCATGGCACATAATTTTCACCATTAAGTTTAATTGATGTCATCTGCACACCTAGATAGTTTGAGGGGATCATCAAACCAGATTTCTGATCACTACCACCATCTCCAGTTTCTGCTATTGTGTTCCCCAATACTATTTCTAATTCTGAATTATCAACCACCAAACAAATACTGCCATTGTCTCCACATCACTTATAACAATCTCTCAATTAGTCACAATCAAAGAGCTTGATGTAAACCACCATTCAGACACATTCGGCCACTCTTTCAGCCCAATTTGTTTTTCTTTTTTTTTCACACCACTACTGATAACCAACCACCATGACTGTTATTCAAACAACCACCAAGAATCCTCTTGAAACTGCTCAATAGAGGGTCTGGAACACCACAAACACCACCACATGACTACTAGGGCTGTCACTCATGGTGACAACAGTATTAGAACTGTTGTCCTAGAGCTGCTGCACCTTCTTAACACCTGTAATGAGGATTGCGACAGTCCTGGATTACAAAAAAAACCTCGCCACAGCAGCCCAGAGAATAAGAAAAGAAGAAGAAGAGGAGATCGCAGGTCAGGGTACTTGAAACCGCAGCCTTCTTCTCCTTTTGTTTAGCGCTTTGATACCATGTTTTAATGGTTCAGACCAGTCCTGTTCTCAGAAGAAGAAGAAGAAGAAGAAGAAGAAGAGGAAACTGTCAAACTAGAGAAATTAACCCTACTAGTCGACCATAATCTCTATTATAATGTAATTAGAGTACAAGGTCAAATATGCCCCTAATTAAGTATGGGACAAGTGAACTAAAAAAGTCAAAACAGAATTGCCACATCATCACATAACTTAAAACATAATGAAAAGACTAATCTATCCTTACGCGACCAACTCTAACATTGATGAATGGACCATTGATGATTGGGATAGTATAAAAGCAGTCTTTCTTGACACTGTGAATGGAAATAGATTAGTTATTACCAATTGTAACAAGGAAATTGCCTTGCATGATCATCCTTTAACACCCTGTATGAATTGAATCTTTTAAGTGGTGAACATATTTGGATTTTGTTTTCAAACGAGGCATTTTTTGGAGGAAACAGGTGTTGGTATAGGGATGACTCCCAAGCAAGCAATTAGAAGAGGCTCCGATGAAGATTGTAGACAACTGCGAGGGTTTGCCTCTTGCAGTCGTTCTGTTGGAAGGCTTGTTATCAAGAAAAGAGATGAGCTGATCGCATCAATTGGCAGATTGAGCAAGACCAAATACCATGCTCTCAAATTTTGGTTTTGAGCAATTATGATTTACCCTTGAAAGTCATGCTTCCTATATCAATAGTGGATCAAGTAGATTGAGGATGGAAATCAATTTTTTGTTGATTCTCAATGATCTTGGCATGATGCAATAGTATGATTATCGTGACAATTCTGTCCATGGTATTAGATCTTGGTTCTTGACCTTTAGATTGTTGAAAGGGTAATGAATTTAACTGTGGAATTGCTGAACTGGATGGTCAGAATTGACCTTCCACTGTCTTTGGGTGATCTAGGAGCATTGAGAAGGTATATAAGGTGACATTTTACCTATTGGCAGTGAATTTCACGTGCATTTATTGATTTTTTTTTTAATTGATGTGTATTTGTTGAATATTTGGATGTATTTCCATGTCTACGATTTCAGGTTCTCAATGTGGTTTAAAGGGTTCAGACAGATCAAGCCAAGCAATAATCAAGAGCTAATAGACACTAGCCATTTTTTCTGTTAGAGGAAAAGGAAAAAAGTAATTAAAGAAAGAAAAAGATGAAAACACATAATACTAACACACGTAAATATAGTATTTTATTGATCCATTGATTTTACACCAGTGTTAATTGGTTTTATGACATCATCAACATACATACATACATATACCCCTACTCTTTCACTTATACACCTCATGATGAGAACAAAGGGATGTGATGAATAGTCTAGAAGCTCATAAATACCTTTATTTGTTTACAATTGCTATTATATTATGTCTCATCCATCCATGGATGAGCTCTATAGATCTTGCCATTTTTGCTGTTTTGTCTTTTTTGGGTAAATATTATTATTTTTGTATCTAAGAAATTCTATTTACCTCCTTCCACCACAACCCCCCTCCCTTTGGCAGTTGAAATAGACAGCAGCAGATGGTAGCCCGAGGTTGTAAAGCTCAGCAAAGTCTCTGGTGCTGAAATTTTGACGCCACCCTGGAGCATACACAGTCTGCTTACCCAGTTGCCGAAACAATGCAAATACAAAGCGGTGGATCCCAGATGTTGGATTTGGTCTCTCATAGCACACTATCTCTTTACCTGGAACAATTAATATAGGTTAGTAGTTCTAATTTCATAACTCAAGTGTGCCCATCTTACAGCCCAAACTCGTGCCTAAAAATATTGTTTCTCATACTATGGAAAGAAAGATGAAAGGAGGATGGTTTGCTTGACCCACGTGTATTGCTTGCTAATAAAACTTGAACAATAGATCACCAAAGGCAACATACTATTAACGACTGAGATAAAAGTGAGATTAGGGGTGCATGTTAGGACCGGATTAGGTTGGCTTGAGGTCAATCCTAGCCCAACCCGGCCGATGTTTTGAACCTACAACCCTCAACCTTAACCCAATCCGATTTAGTCAACCCTAATCCAACCTAAAATCCTGAACCCTCACCCAACCCAAGGCTTCGGGTTGGACCCAACCTGACATTAAACCTCTCAAATTCTCTTCGTATTTGATCAAGAGATCTGAACATCACTTTTATGACCATATGTTGAACATATTTTTTAGTTGATAATTAATTGTTTAATGATTTTATTGGCTCTTCCAGTATAAAAATGTAAAAGAAATGCTTCAAAAGACTAGAGTCCTATGAATTATAATAAACCTCTTATTAAAAAATCTAAAACCATGAAGTCAGCAATAGTAAAGCATATAATTATGGATTGAAAGTTATTAATGATGACTTGTTATTAGAATTAGGGGTTAAGAATTAAGATAAATGGATTATGATAGTATGTAGTAGGAATATAATACATACAATAACAATAGTAGATTTGGGTTCGGGTTGGCTAAGATCACCCAGAAGGCCAACCCTAATCCAAGCTGAAGTTGGGTGTGTAAAATTCAACCCTAACTCTAAACCTATCATCAACCCAACCCAACTGACTAACCCAGCCCAAAGCCCTAAGTGGGATGTATCCTTTTTTTTTTTTTTATATGAATAAGTGGGTTGTATCCTTTTTTTATATAAGTGGGATGTATCCTCTTACCTCTTTTGGAGTTTTCTCACGGTTGTACTGTGATTCCGTGTAACCCTTTAGCTTGAGAACCATTGACTCTCAACGGTCTATAACATGCACTTGACCTTTTCTACAACTCTTCTTTTAAATAACTGACTCTTAATATTTAGCATATATATCAATGACTTTGCAAATCGAGATATATTGTACGAGACACACTGATATGGTATAATAATATAAACCTTGCTTGGGGCTACAAACGGGAATTGTCTTGTCCCCATACCTATAATCTCACTGAGTTCGGATTTTTTACCCACGGCAACTCTATCCAAATCTATTTGCATAACATTACAGCCACATAATATAATGAATCTAATCCTCTTATATGCTATTATATAAGGGGAGATGTTCTCAATACATGGAGGTAGTTTTTTTTGAGCCTGAATCTTCTATTTATGTTTATCGCAGTCACACATAGAGAATTTCTCATCTTCTACATAATATTATGCAGGGGGAGATATTCCCAATTCACGGGGGTGATATATTGTGAGTAGACATGGGTAAGATTCTAGTGAAAAGAAGATCCAGAGTCGAATTTTCTTGTAGGTAGGAGATCCAGAGTCAACCCCACTAACCTTGGTGACAGCCGGCTTTGATCCCAAGTCTCCGATAAACCAGAAAGATTACTTATAATTGACCCACCATTAGTTGATGTTTGTAAGAGATTTTTTTTTTCTTTTTTAAATGCATAATTGTTGGTATCATCTAGTTAGAGTAAAAAATGATTCATTCTGAATACATAAAATCTTGTTCACCAAAAAAGAAGAAAAATATATAAAATATTGTCCACCAAGAAAAAAAACAGAATACATAAAATGCTCATCAATTACATCAATTACATCAAGGCTATTGACTTCTTTTCCATTTGGACCCACCTGACGCCAAATCTCTGGTAAACCTAAATCATTTGCATTTACATTGGTGTTAATGCATGGGAATGATGGTGGGAGGAATTTTATATCACCTTTTAACCAAAAAATAAAATCCTAGGCTGTGAATAAATCCTTAACATCTTTTTTTTTTTTTTTTTTTTTCTTCTTTCCAATGCGGGAGATACACTCATACATGCATCCCGACAAGTTGTATTAGAAAATTAAAAGTCATTTGTAAAATTTGTTTCAGTATTTGCCATTCATTTTATTTTTTCTGCCTTTTAGAGAGGCTGGGTGGCATCATGCTTACGTCCTCAATTTCACGAGTAGAATGGAACAACGCAAGTTTAGACTGGTTTCAATTTTCAAGTGGTAATCTCTAAGTCGCAGGTCAGTTTTTTGGGGGAATTAGTCAACACATCACGTAAAAAATGAAAACTAAAGCTAAAAGATATAAAAAGAAATATACGGTGGTTGTTTTACTTACCGAAAGTTGCATCGGTTCCTTCAGGGATGTCAGTCACCAGCCTAGAGTGTTAAAAGTAAACAAGTTAGTACAACCATGATAACAATTATAATAAAAATCAGAGATTCATAGACACACCGAAAGAATGGCTAAATATACTTATCTACAACTCAGTTTGGAAGGAATATAAATACATATATGTACAGTATAAATACATACAAAATATAAGATTTTACACTATATTTACATTTCTACTCCTTCCAAACTCAGCTTACAGGAAAAATCTATACTGCTGCTGGCCAGAAAAAAACATGATACTTTGGACCAATCAAATTTTGTATGATACTGGTTAATTGTTACTTATCACTTCTATGATACTGGTTGATACCATTCTAGTCTCATAGTCAAGCCCCCTAAATCTCCAACAAAAATGCCTTTTTGAATCTTTTTCGAAATGCATGAGAGTGTAAATGGGTAGAGTAGATATTCTAGTTTACTTTTTATGAAAATTTTACAGAGATAGGAATACAAATTACCATTACTGATGAATAGATGTAACACTGAACGTGGGCTTGCGCTGATTTTAGTCCGGTTTGGATATGGGTTTGGGCCCAAAACATTAGGCCTGACTTTTTTTTGGGTCGGGCTCAGATTTCTCAAAAATCGCAGACCCAATAATACTTTATATAACAAAAAATATTTTATATAATAAAATTATATATAATATATATACTTTTTTCATCATCTCTTTTCTCAAGCCATAGTGAGATCTTTCAGTATTTTTGGGTTTTGAGGTTGTTTAGTATGAAAATAAATCAGTTTCCTTGAGTTTTTTTTTTTTTTTTTCACAAGGCTTTGAGCTTTATTGAGGGATGGGCTTAAGTTCAAGATTTAGGTTGGGTCTAGCTGGGGCTCAGGCTTGAATGCGTTCTGTTAATATAGAGGCAAAGCTGGACCCAAACCTTGCTTGTGAATAGGTCTAATTCCAATAAAACTTATCATGGACAAAGATGCTATTTAAAAATTTTAAAGCGTTACATTAGAATTAACAGAAGGGTTGTATTTGTATATTTAATTATTTGAAACATGGAGGGTGGTTTTCGGAGGTCAAAATAGAGGGGAAGCTTTTCTTTTCAGCCAAATATAGGGGAAGTTAGGTTTTGTTTGTTTGCAATGCAAATCTGAACCAGATACAAATTTTGCACTCAGTTCAGTTTTGCATGTATTTCTTTGTAATTATGATTTGTATTCTTATTTGAAACAAAATTTGTTAATTTTTGTCTCATTTGCAACAATTAACAGTACAAATTTTCTTCCGAAAACATCGATGCAAAATTTACAACACCATGCACATACTTCAATTATTTCTCATATAAAGTGGAACCATATAATCTAGCTTTCTACCTCACTATTAAACAAATAACCCTTTTACCTCTATTCTCTTGCATATAAGGGGGAGACAACATCATCTTAATTCATGTTTTACTTCTCACAGACAAATAAGACAAAATCAAATCTGAACCAAAAGAAAAATCAGCCTGAATTTACACAGCCTAATTGCGCTCCCATGCATTTACCCTAATGCAAATGAACAGCAACCAAACTATGCCCTAAGTATTTACTAAGAATCATAAGAAATGTTTTAATAACTTTCCATAATGTTCACTAAAAGAGCTACCTTCAAGTTAGAAGAAAGTAAAAAGTGTCTTATAAGTATATCATCTAATTTTCTAGAATAAGGAAGATCAGTCATCAAAATATCCATCCATAAAGTAACTTATTACTCGTATATCACCCAATAATTTATGTTCATTGAAATTTTCTAGTAGACATCAGGCTTTAGAATGCATGCCAACTTTTAATTGGGACCAAATAAATTTTACAAGTGGCATGTTTAGAGGATGAACTTCAATATGAATAGTTTTTGTTTATTTGTCATAAAAAAATTGATATGGCCATATTAAAAACCAGGAGAGATTACGTAGTAGGGCAGTTTCGTATCAGGTTCAGATATCCAAAACCCTACAAGGGCATTACAATGCAAATCTGAACTGGATATAATTTTTGTACTTGATTCAATTTTGTATCTATTTATCTGTTATAATGATTTGCATTCATTCCTGATACATTTTGTACTTGTACTTTTTGTTTCATTTACACAGTTAAACAGAATGAAGTGCAATTTTTTTTTTATGGAAACAACTAACTTAAAATTTGCATCACCTTCCTCCTATCTCAATCATCTCGTATATGGTTTGGATTACATCATCTTGCTTCGGTGCTTCTTATAATATAAACAAAAAAAATCTCCTATATTCTTTCTCATATAAAATGGAATCCACTTTATTTTACATCTTATTTGACTTCTCACATACAGAAAAAGACGAAAGCAAATCAAAAGCAAAATTAGACCTAAATTTACACTGAGCCAATTTGCATTTCCATACATTTACATTAATGCAAATGAAATTCACAGTGCAAACAACTAAACATGATGATTTTTCCCTACTATATTTTATAGATTCTATTTTGAAATCCCAAAAAAGTGGTTCCAACTTAAATATTTGCAAGGATAGAAACTTAGGGCACGATAAACTTAAGATTGAGAGAGAGAGAGAGGAAAATAACCAGTGCAAATACTCTCTCAGGTTTGGATCACTTGGACTTGGAGCATCAGGGTCGACCATTACCTACAACATGAATAACCAACCTGAAGCCACAGTTCAAGAAAAAAATGTAAAGCTATTAACAACATAAGCATCGTTGGATCAACCACAGCAGATGCAGGAGATTATATTTAAAGAAATATAAAATCTCCATCTAATCTCTCTATAGATTGATTTAGTAAATCATATGATGGTGTAAGAAAACCACGAAGGGTAGGAGTAACAAGAAAAAAATCCTGATTGTGAATTAGAATTGTAAGGACATACCAGCGTGTAAAAGATCCTGAGATCATTGCCTCCAATTTCGACCCTAGGTTGGTTTAACAGGGCCAAGGGCCGAAAGTCATAGCCATTATTGACCTCTCTATTGTTGTAAGTGATCCTAATAGATATGGATCGTTCAAAGGGATCTAACACATCCCCTATTACACGACCAACAACCAAAGGATCCCTTACCCTAGACATGCTACGTGAATGGGTAGAATTCGTTACAATTGGAGGGTGGTCGATGAGATCAGGTTGCCCGTATAAATAGAGGTCGCACTGGCTAAAACTGCCATTACATGTATTGCTGTGGCCCCAACCTTGATGCTCAAAGCGGTGCATGCCAGTCACAGCAATACATCGAAGGGCCTTGATTTACACAAAGTCGGTGCAAAAGTGGATTGCTGGTATCTTGGAATCTACTTTTTTGCACCACCCTAATGTCAAAAAGCTATAGACCAGTTCCATCATTCAACTGATGGGGGACTATTTGTGCTTTGTGCTTGTGGAGGTTAAAAATTCGGTTCAGTTAATTTGAAAAGATTACAAATACAAATGCGTAGAGTTCAAAACTTTATATTTTATATTATTTTGTATATATTTATATTTGCACTCCTTGCAATCGAAGCCTTAAATACAAATTATAAGGATTTGCATTGTAAATATTTGTATTTATAGTAATTTTACGGAATTAAAGCTAAGGCTGCATTTGGAAACAATGCAAATGGAGTGTAAATCCCAGTTTAGGGTAAATTTACACTCTGGCTCACTTTTGCCTGTGTTTGGCAACATTACATTTATGCATTAATAAATGACAGATCAATGTATATTTACATTGATAAAAAGATGTAAAAATATATCAATAAAAAAGAAGTAAATTTGCATTCAAGTGGACTTTTGATAAAAAAGCATAATCTTTATTGGAATTCATGTTTGCATCCATTACAACTAAAAATCTGTTTGGTAATAAGGTAAATTTGTCACTACAAAAATAACCCAATTTTGCAATTTATAGCAACCATTTTACACTCTATATATTTACATTCACATTTATTTGCATTGTTTCCAAGTGCAGCCTAAAGGGTAAATTACAGGGAATTAGCTTGTATTTTGATTAGTGACATTTAAGGGTTTGAAATTTTCACTTTTAACACACATCTATCATGTATTTTCGGATTCTAACACTATGCTCCTGCCATTAGCATTCCATCAGCTAAGTGGAGAAGATTTGCACATGATGTCATGTGGGTCTATAAACATTTCAAAAACACTAAACTACCCTTTCCTTATTTATAAGACCGTTTTATCCTCTCCTTTCTTATCTTCTTTCTTACACATGAAGAAATAGAGCATTGAAGTAACACATTCACAGAATATACCTGCATTTGCTCATCAACCTAAATATCCCAGAAGCTAGCGGTTTCATTCTCAAGCAAGCAGGTATGCACTATGAACCTATGTAGCCGTTATTCCAACCTTCATTTCAAAATGAGGTTTTCGTTTGAGCTTCCATTTAGGGTTCAGACACTACGTCGTTGCTCTTATCAAGAACTCATTTGGTGATGTTTAGCAATTTAGACTATTTCGTTTTATCTTCCTTAACAGGATTTTGGTAAGTTTTCCAAAATTTTGAGATTTTAATTCTTGTTCTCTATTTGGTTGTTTCTTTCTCCCTTTATTGGTTGATGGGTTTTGTGCTCCCTATTATAGAATAAAAATTTATTTGGGGCCCTCACCTAACAGCTTAAGTTTTAGGTTGAATTGTCACCCCATAAGGATGGCCATGTTAGATGGCTTCCCTTGTTCTATTACCTCAACCCTATATTTATAGAGAGGGTGCATTATTCCCTTTCCAAGCCTCTAGAGTTGTCACTTCGGCATGCCCCTCTCCCTTTCCCACCCCTAATAAATACATGTTGCATCAAAATTGTTTATTTCTACTAATCCTCACTTCACAATTTCCTAGAAGTCTTTCTAAAATCTCTCTCTCTCTCTCTCTTCACACCCCTAAAACCTCTCCAACACATTAGGAAACTTCTCCGATTTTTATGCTACCCTTAGTGGACCTTATCTTTTTGATCAACCTCCTATCATATTTATCATCTTTCCATTTTCTTCTTTCTCTCAACGTATTCCTCTTGCTTTCTTTTCATCTCGATGATCACATGTTAGATAACCCATTTTTTAAATAATGTTACATAAACATGACCCATTAAATATAATTATTGCCTTTAATCATGTATTTTACATATGCTACATGTAAAATTACATAATTAACCTGAACTTCCCTAAATTAATATCAATTTAATTTAATTTAACTTAGATTAACTTAAATTAACTTAAACTTCCCTAACTAGTGCTAATTTAATTAACCTAATAACTTAATTCAAGTTTAATCTTTTCTTGATACTATTTGCTATGTGTAAAGTCACCTAATTAAATTAAAGAACTAATTTATTTTAATTAGAACATTAATTAAATTTAGCTAATTAATAAATAAGCTATTTGAATAGCTAATTAAAGTATTACCTAATTAAATTAAGTAACATAACTATCCAATTAGTTCATTTAATTAAGTTAAATGAACTTAAATTAAGTACTGTAATTAATCAACTTTAAATTAAGCTACCCAAGTTAATCTACATAACCTAATTAATGAAGTTAATCTTAACCCAATATTTTAAAAAGTCAAATTGAAAATGGAACCATCTTTGCCTCTAGGTTCTAGGTTAGCAGTTCAATCATTGGGTTTGAAATGGATCCACTTATGATATTCATCCATGTTACCACTAGTTTAGGGCTATAGGTTCAATCATCATGTTTGAAATGGATCCACCGATGATATTCATCAATATTTTAAGGGAAATTGTCTAAAACTCACCATGAGTTTTCAACATTTCTCTTAAACTCACAACTTTTCAAAATGTCTAAAACTCACCATGTTAGTAAGTTTTTATTTTCCAAAACCCACCCTTCATTAGTGCACCGTTATGCTTCTTAATAGAGATGTCCATGTCAGCACAAATAACAAATTTCATGACCAAATTACCCTTGAATGGCGAGTTAGAGGAAAAATGGTCCTTCTTAGTTTTCAATTTTCTTATTTTTTTTGCATTTTTAGTGTTTTATTATAATTTCCAATGTTTTTTATAATTTCTATTTTTTTACATTTTCTATTTTCTAGAATCTATAATTTTTCCTATACTTTTTGTTATTTATTTGTAATTTTTGTGTTTTTCTATAATTTTTGGTGTTTTTTCTACAATTTTTATTTTCTGATTTTGTTTTTCAATTTCTATAGTTTCTATAATTTGAAAATAATTTTTTATTTTGTTTTGCAATTTCTATAATTTTTATATTTTTTTTGTAATTTCTATGATTTTATGTATTTTATATTTGAAAATATTTTATGAACTTTTTTCTTTTTTTCATGTCTAAATATTAAAATGGAAATATATTAACACACTGTTATTTTATTTTTATATATTTTATATTTTTCTATGAAGGTGAAAATGGTAATATATTAACACCCGTTGGTTTGTTTAATGTCAAGTTAGTGACATGGTGAGTTTTAGACACTTTGAAAAGTTGTGGTGAGTTTAAGAGAAATGTTGAAAACTCATGGTGAGTTTTAGACAATTTCCAATATTTTAAAAATCTACCTGCATCAAAACCACTTTGGCCACTGGATTTTGGGTTAGCGGTTCAATTGTCGGGTTTGAAATGGATCTACTTATGATATTCATCAATGTTTTAAAAACCAACCCAGACCCGGAATCACATTGGCCACTGATTTCTGGGTTAGCGGTTCGCCCATTCTTTTTGAATGGATAACCCATTCCTWTTTAAAAAATAAAAATAATTAAAATTAAAAAATGACCAAAAATTGTTGTTTGGCTTGAATGGGTCAATGGTTCAACCGTTTGGATTAGTAGGTTGTTGATCAAGTCAACTGTTTTTGGCCCAGAAATGGGTTAAGAGTGAAATGGAACCGATTGCCTCGACAATTGGCTGAATGGTCTGACCATCCTAGTCAACGACAATTCGAAACCATGGTATTCATCATTAATATAACAAAATATTTAAATTATAAAAAATAGTTATCAATCTATGAACGATTATCCACTTTAAACAATTCAATCAATATACAATCTAGATCAAAGGTCCACTAACCAAATCAACTATATTTTACAAAATAATGAGCCAAGTGGTAATTAAAAAAATGTGACTGATGAGGGGTAATTTGTATTGACCCATTAGCATGTGGACACGTGGAGCAACCAGTTGATTAGATGACATCTCAACATTTTCTGAACACTTCAGCAGGCCAGGTTAGTTCGGGCACCTCGAGTACCTCGGCTAATATCGAGGTCTGAGTAGCTTATCGTGTCCCGACTTTCCGAGCTGCCACGTAAAGTCCTTCTAGAAGGGAGCCAGCTGTCTCCAATCTCTTTGGGATCACGTCGTTCGGTAGTAGGGCTTATCTATATCCCGTCCGAATTGGACGGACTTGGCTGGATAAGCCTTATCCACTCAGACAACTCTTGCCCTCAGATACAGAACAAAATCCCAGTCTAGCAGGCCAACGATCTCGGAGGTGTTTCGTGAGGACTATGGAAGCTCACCTATATAAAGGGACCACCATCATCCTTCTGAGGTACACGATTTAGCTCTCATACTCTCATACTTACAAAAAAACTAGCTCGCTACAAAGCTCTTTGTTGTTAGACAGAGTATGCCCTTAGCTCCAATCCGAATGATGTACATTATGACATTTAATGTAAATGAATAATGTACATATTTGATTTATATTATTATGGTGTGTTTCTGTGTAAACCCTTAAACTAGATACATGAGACTCGTGTTAGTTAGAATCTTCATAGCCATTGGATAGATTTGGGGAGATTTATCTTGCCAATGCTGACATTGATGTGCCGCCAAGTTGGTTGGGGTGGGTTGTCTCAGCTGTTAGGGTGAGACTTGAGGTACATGTAATGTGGGTTTTCTTGAAACCCTGAACCGAACCAGTATTGCCCTGGACCTTGGAGATAGATGGGCAAAACTGGAATGTTACATATGACCCCTAGACTCGATTATGATACTACACTAGGTGTCGGATTGGGTTGTGTTTGATATACCAATCAGTGAGATCTTTAGAGGGAGTCAAAACTTGGGTATGTTGGGACAGTTTGAGAATTCATCTGAGTGGGTGATCATAGT